CACACTTCAGAGAAAGAGTAAAGCTACAGGTGAAAACGACGAAAACTTGTCTGATGATACTCGAGTGCCTGTATCACGTGACGAGCATGACGAAAACAACACATAATACATGTACTTATAAAATTGCTGATGAAAGCAGTAACATGTCAATGCAAACTCCTGAAGACGTTCAACTTTTAAATGAATCTAACTAATTTCACAATTTCTGCAATACAATCAGTAGCACCTTTCTATTTAAGGCATTGAACCAAAGGTAATTCTATAAACATTTTTCAACTTGTGATTTGCTTCACAAGGACAGCTTACTTCCCACCAAATAACATGTTTGATGTAATGTTAAGTCACCGAAACATCCTGTTTCCAGTAAAACAGTCAGTTATAATCTGCAATATATATTTGTCTTTTTATATATAAATCAAAACTGTTATTTCTTATGTGACTTATGTGTTTCAAATTTAAATGAAATATTTTTAAATGAAATATTATACGTGTATATGTAGCCTACAAGTTAATTTATGCTGATGTAATTACAAGCAGGACTATAATGATGAAGTTTCACTTTATTATGTACAAGGTATATTTGTGCTTATTTGAACTGCCATATAATATTAAGTCACATTTACCGTTTTATTATGTATCACGTGATTTTGCCAGTATGCATCATGAAACAATTGCGTGATAGTATATAATGACTTTTATTTTGTTAATCTAAGATTGTTAATTTTAGCCTCGGTAAACCTCCGTCTTTTTCGGGTTAAAATTATTTCATATCACTCTTACATGAATCCGATATTTATATAAATTTTATTTATTTATGTTATATTATATATTCATTTAAGATTGATTTGATTAAAAATAGATAATTGTTCACAATTTTAATCTTTCTTTGGGAGGAATACATTAGTTTTTAAGTATGATAATAGTTATGTGAGAAGGTACATCCGGACATGAGAGATAATTATGATCTTAATAATTAGACACATGTTTATGACTGAAGTATGCACTTATTGCTGTTCCTTGATGATACCACTTAAGTTGGCTGTTAAACAAACATAAAATGTTAAACTGGTGAAAGAAGTTATAAAAGTACTTTATTACAGTATTCTAACACGACCCGCATTTTTCCCTATTGAACATAGAAGAACCAAAAGTGTGTGTTATTATGCTATAAAGTCACTGTTTGACGTTCTATATTTAGACATGTGACGTAATCATTATACACGTGACGTAACCACTAAAAAGGTGACGCGCTGAAAATAAGTACGGAAACAAATCAGGCGCAATTATGCTTAATATCAGGTACGGCAGCATTTATTTGTTGATGTCGTGTTAGAATCGAAATAATATATCCAAAACAGTGATTTTATCGCTTGATAACATCACTGTTTGTCGTTCAGATGCGCATCATTATATCACTCGGGCTACGCCCTCGTGATATAATTCATCGCATCCGAACTCCAAACAGTGATGTTATTGAGCGATAAAATCACTGTTTGGGATATATTATTTCTTAATTAACATACATGTGCATATTACATCATAATTTAGAAATAGGATTAAAAAGAATGTCAATGGCTCTTGTAAATCTTGTTATATCTATATCGTTAGAAGTGACCATTATGAAAGTCACAAAGAATTAGGTTATTTTATGATATGTGCTCGTGAATAAAAGAAAATGTTCACAAATATCGTTTACATATAACACCTGTCACTTGTTATCATCCATTTCATGTTTCTGTACAAAATTTCTAATTATTTTACATAACATAAGTATCCGCTTGTAATTGCAGACAACTTTTGATTCAGAAAGAAACTGGACTATCTGACAATATTGTTTATCACAAAATGTATGTGCATGTAAAGTTTGTCAACGTACAAGTATTATTAATTTATTGTAGTGTAGCCATTTTATCTATTTCTGTAAATACACATGTTATATACATGTATATATTGGTGATTAAGCTCCGCTCTTTACGTTTATGTTAATATTCGTCATTTATGTGGAAGCAAGTGTCTTTCAGATAATATGAATACATGTGTACTCATTTCTAGACATTTACGATCAATTTGATGTATTTTTGTTTTTGTAAAACAGTGGAAAGAAAATGAATAAACAATCACTCCTGGAATATTTGTGACTATGTTGTTTTTATTATTAGAATGTCTTTGTTGCTTACTTTTACTTAAAATCGCGCCAGTCTCAAAACAAATCAAGATGTACCATCTACTTACTGTCTTCATTTAACTTTGAGTGTATTATTGAATCTAACTGAAACAGTTATAAACATATGGTCATAGGCCTTAGTAATGTAATTAAATACAGAGAATCTTGAAAATACATACAATAATATAAGGGAAGCAAGGTTTTGTCATTGTATTGTGCTTATATAAACACTGTGCACGGCATGGATAGGCACAGATAGTCGGCAGACGATTTGAAGATTGAGTGGACTTCTTTTCACCAAGAACTAATGTTAAATTTTTGACAGCTAATTCTGTACATAGAAGGCAGATCCTTGAGGTCAAATTAATACAACTTTGTGTTGCCGAGCTTAGTTACTCCCAAAACCGGCTGCTGATGTCCTGACTGGAGCTAAGGAGAGGGGCCTTCAAAGTAGACAAGGGCGACGGTGAAAGGTACTAGGGTGCGTGAGCCCGTAGTTCGCATTGACGGCTTGAAAGGCAGACCCTTTGATTGGTACAAACAGCCCTTATCAGGGCTAACCTCCTTCAATTTATTCACAGGTTACTGTATGTTAAAAGTTGACCAATGTAAAGTGACCATTTTTTTGGCTCAAAATTCATGTTTTAATTAATACTCTGTTGAAATTGCGCGGATGTAAGTTATCGCCTTTTTTGCGATAAAAACCTTTAAGATCATGACTGGTGGCATGCTTAGGGCCTGAACTTAATAGTGAAAGCTACTTTTGTGCCTTATCGGGCGGGTGTACATGTGCATACATAAATAAATTAAACGTTATTTAAATAAAGAAAGCGACAACACGTTTTACAACTTTAAATTCTATATTTATAAATCTATTTCATACTAGACATGAAGTTAAAAAGAACATCAATTATCACAGATACGTATATAATAATACAAGAAAAAATAAAAGTCTGAAATCGAACTCGCATAATATCTATTCATATAATATACAATAACTTTAATTAATAAACATATATTTCATTGAGCGGTATACAGTTAAATACATTTATTTACGTGGTTTAAGCTTTAAGTTTATATTCCTTACAAAAGATATGATATAATATATAATTATGATAAATATCAAATGATGTTACATTTATTGTATGATAAAATGTTGCTAACAAGCATTCTCAATCATAATTGTTGTGGGTGTAAAACCGTCGTCAAATATTGAAAAGATTTCATTGTATTTCATTTAAAAAATGATTTAGTTTTATACGTCATACAAATCACAATTAATTATTCATACGCTTTTTGTTCATTTATTTTTTTTTCTTTTCGTTTTTTTGTTCTGATAATGTTGATCATACTTTTCATTCTTTAGATTTAATTTAAATTTTACTTATTTTAGCTTTAAATGTTTTATTTCTGTAAAACTAATACGTACAATCAAAAATATAAATTTTATATTTCAATAACACTAAGCTAGAAAAACTAATTATTTATAAATGTAACAAGTTCATATACAGTAACCAGGGGTAACAATATATAATATACTTCTTCGATAAGATAGTGTATCCGGTTTTACATATAGAATCCCGGTAAATATGCATATAGCGTCCGGTTATACTTACAGATGATATCTAGTTACAGTTACACATGCATATAGAATCCGGTTACACATGAATATGGTATCTAGTTACTGTTATACATGTGTCAAGTGTCCTTTTATACATGCATATATCAGGTAATATGTACATTTTAATGAACATATGTTTTATTATTGTTAACACAAACAGTATTTATTCAAAGCATGTTATTTTACTATATGTATGATATCTGAAGAAGCCAGGTATGGAAAGTTTGAAAGTATAACAGCTGTGGGCTTAATAGCCATGTCAGTTACCATTAGCAACGCCTGGTTTATCTAACAACCTTATCAGCACTAAAAGGTATATTTTTGTACAAAACCAAGGGATAAAAAATAATAAGTAATATCTAAAATTAAATACAATAAACTCATAAAAAAGACAGAATATTAAAACATATAATGCATTTACCGTAGTTTCTTTTACAAGGTGATAAAATATGTCCTTACTTTTTATATATCATCCAATATTTATGGTTTATACTATTTTTTATTTTATATACATGTAATTATATATGTACGAGTATTTTTCAAACAAAAAATCTAATAAAATCTACATCTATTATATGTTATTTTGGTTTTGGAGTGATATATGTGGATATATTACCTGTTAAGATTTTATATCACCCGAGCCGTTAGGCGAGGGTGATATTTTATCTTGGCAGGTAATATATGCACATATATCACTCCAAAACCAAAATAATAATTTTATTACCCTACCCTGCCGAGTTTAGACGATTTTTTTAAAAAATCATTGCTGCTTCAAATGAAACGTCGAAATAAGATTCCCTTTAGGATACCTCTTCGTCACAACATGACGTCACATAAATACATGACGTATTTTTCCCGTACCTTACGAAAGTAAATAAGAGAAAAGGAGTAGTCTATTGAACGCACTTTTTTGTAATTAATATCAAGCTTTCACAAGGTCATATTTGTTTTCGATACTGATGGTAATATGTATCATTACTCTACTTTGGTAAATATTGATCATTTGACAGTTAAAAAGTGCTTTTAAATCGGAATTTACACCGCGTAAAATCGAACCGTACGCGCATCACCTCAGCGCATGTTGTTTACAACGTTGGGTACCAAACGGGGAAATTTAGTGTGTATATTACCCGTCTGGCTCGGTTATATCAATTTCTTTCGGGTGATCAATATCCAATCAAAAAGGCGGAACAAATCTGGAAGGGTAATAAAAGGTTTTATTGTTAAATAGTTCTTTATACATAAGTTAATACATCATTCATGACAATCACTTTATAATACGTCCTCTCACACAATTCTTTCTGACTATATCAAATAGATCTACCACCTAACGCCGCAAGGTATGATTTGTTCATTAAGATAATGTGCTTTCTGTTATCTATTTTACTTAGATTTCAAAATCTGTCGTCACATATCGTAAATTACGTCAATCTTCGTCGAATATCGTAAATATTCGTCGACTATCGTAAATCTTCGTCTGACTCAACTTCAATTCTCCGTATATTAAACGGCGGTTGTTCTTCGTCATAATATCCTCCGGAATACTGTTGCGGCTGTGTCTCCTCAAAGCTGTTATCGTAACTCTTCGGTCTTTTCCGTTTCTTTACGTGATCCTTATCACGTGACCTGGAGGAATGATGGTGTTTTTGATGGTGTTGTCTGGTAGGAGAACTATCAAGAAAGTCCTCATAATGTGACGGTTCAACCTACAGAAAGAAGCAAAATAATCATCATGAAAAATAATTGTCATATCGCATTGAAAGATATTTCAAAATAAACTTCACTTATAAAGGTTTTTTGTAAAACAATCTTTCAAGTAGCAATTAAGACAAAAACCCAGCGAATAACATGTCTTAATACCGAATGCCAATAATAGATGTACCAAGTCATATAATATTCCAATATTATAAGCATGTTTTGTCGTACATAAAATATGAGGTTAATTTAATTACCATAACTCTAGGTTGTTCAAGGGCAGAGGACGGTCTTAATATAACATCATCTGGTGGTTTGGAAACCAGACGCTGTGGCATTGGTGCCAGAGCTTTGGGCAGTGGACCTCTTACATGTACATTGATTTCTTCGGCATACTCGTCGTCATGGTGACGGCGAGATCTTCTTTCTGAAGAAGAACGGTCCTTCTGTTGCTTCTTCCTGCGTCGTTTTGGTTTGGGTTTACTGTAATGTGATACAATATCAGTATATGACTCAATTAGTTTAACTTACATCAATATTTTATTTTCATACTATTTTTTTTTGTATGCACATCTTGTTATCTTTAATGCTCATATGTTTAAGACTGGAATGCAAACGTGTTGATTTATAGGATTTACGATATAATTATATAATTGACATATGTTATCTTTTAAACCATAATATAAATAATGACCTTGAGATTGTATAAATATATGTAAGAAGGATGCTAAAAGTGAATTTCTCTGGTAAAAAAACAAACATATTTTAAATATACACAGTGGATTTTCATAAAAATATAATTTCTTAGGAGAGAAAAGACTACAACTTCACATCTAAATTGAATACCAAAACACGAAGGAAGTAAGGGACCCTAGAAAATATTGGTAAAAATATTTTAATTTGTAAGGAAAACCGAGTAATAACTTTTTTCTTACTTTAGAAATAATAATCATGCTAACTTACATGTATTCTAATCAATTTGCAGTAATGCTTATATTTATTTTTCTGTTTTCAGTATAATTAATGTAGTGTTCGTAATGTTTCAAATTAATCGTTGCTTTAAAAAAATATTGTTATTTTTCCTGAAATAAACTTTTCAAAAGTCAGAGCTCAAGTAGAACATATGATATAAAGACAATTCATCAAGCAAACAGGAAGAGAAAAGAAAGCATTAGCATGAATGATATAATACATGAGTCATCTAAATTATTCTTTTTTATAGTCGCTTTGATATTAAAGGCAAAATCAATATTGCATACACGTAGTCCTCATATACGTTATCATACTGTGTCTCGCGAGGCGATGACGTCATAACTGGATCACGTGGTGTACGGGAAGACGATCTAGGTAGGGAGACGCTCAAGTTTTGTCCACCATTAGAAACATACATGGACTTTCTTTTCACCCTGAAAAAAACAGAGGGAGCTTGATAAAAGCACGTTTTATCATACAATATTAAAGCAGATCACTGGAAAAGTTATGGACATCCAAAGATCTCCGCATTGCTTAGATCTTATATATATATTTATTTGTACGTATATGTAATTACACACATTTATAATTGTTAATTAAATGACTAATAGAATATTTATCAGAAAAAAATATAATAATCATTCATATCTATGTATACTAATACTAAATATATTATAAATATCTAGTGACAGAAGTGTATATTTTAACTTACTTTCCGTTCATTTTCTCATTGAAGACTGGCACGTGCACAGAGATATCAGTCTTAACTGACCCAGTTTCATCCGAGAGCGGAGGCTCAACGAAAGGAACCCTGTCCATAGGCTTGCCTTTCTTCTCCCGAATATCTTGCAGGTTATAACTTACAAATTGCATGTTATGGTCACCATACCTAGACAAAACATGTAATCTTTATAATTAAGATGTTAAGATGTTGAAATAATTCAGTGAGTTTTATAAGTTATAATACCCGTTTTTTTCAATTTTTCAACTCTTCAAATTTTCAACTCACTATACAACATTTTTTTATATTTCTTAATTAAATACAAGACAAATGATATATTATTAGCCAATATTGATTGATACAGCTTTTTTTATCAAATTATATAGTAGGTACATAAATAACAAGCAGGAATATTGCCTTAGCAATAAAATTTCTCAAAATAGAAAGGCTATAGTCACACACATTAGAACTAAAGTTCAAATATTGATTAAAACTTTTAGCTAAAATGTTGTTGGCCGTGATAGATGTGCATTTTATAACTTAATCAAAAGATCTTAGGTTAGTGTTTATTTGTAAGTTTTACTGAATAAAATAGATCGAAACGGTTTACTAAAAAACGCTAAGCAATAAGGCGATTTACCAAAGTAAATGTGCTATTATTCATATGAAATACTGGAATTCTACTAGGCAAAACATAATTTCAAACACTAATAATAACATCTAGTAAATCGACTGTTTTTAAAAAAAGTAATTTAAAATACTAAGCCGGTTAAAATTTTAATACGTATTTACAAAATTAAATTAGTCAACAATACTAAATAAAAAGATTCGCACATGCTGACAGGCAATATACATAAATATTTCAATTTTTCAATGAAAGAAAAAATAGGGATTCTAAATGCACCTTGTAAATTCTGTAAGACTTCACTAAAGCTACATAGGTGTTGTGTAAAATTTAAAAGTACCGGAAGAAAACCATTCAAGAGAATAAATATTTCTGTAGTTATATTTTCAGTAGAAGGGAAATACTTATACTAAAAGTTGTATGCTAGTTATAACACTAATAAAGTTTATAATTATATAGTTCTTAAATAAAAGATAAAAATTTCGTACTTCTTAGCATAGTATCCGTCCTTCTGTGTTGGTGCTACCACTTGTTTCTTCTTGGATAAGCACGGCACTACACGAATATATATATGTATATAATTTAAGTGTTATTTTTTCATACAGTTACAAATTTATACTGTATGCAGACTGTATAAGTGGAATGACTTACCGACGACAACAATAAAATACTTTATTCATTCAGATGTGTGATGCTCTTTTACTGACTACATATATAAATCTGATTATGCTACACTGTAGCTCTAACACGCGGCATAAAAAATCCCAGCAAACTTAGAGCATGACAGTCTCGTTCTTACAAAAGTATGTGGAACTTATTGTGAAGTGTTTGTTTAAAGCTTGTGTTTATTAATGAAATAACTACTTAAAATACATAAAGAAACGTCCTTGGCCGGGTGTATAAGACCACTTGACCCTCACCGCTGTAGGTTCAATTCCTGCCAGCGACATTGGAATTTTTATGAGAAAGCTATCAAGGTAGCTTACGGGACGCCCGTGGTGCTACGCAGGGTCCTTCATCTACCAGTAAAGCTAGAAAATATTTACCTCTACTATGTTAATGCGACGTAAGTATGCAAGTATAAAATAAATAAAGTACTTATGCATTAATCAAACAGTTATGAGATGCCAGCCCTTTGCACCGTCGGATACCAACGGCCGAACTTTTTACATTTATCAGTTATATTACATATTAATCAACCGTGGATATCCGACGATGGACATTTGAAGAATAAAAATGGTAAAATAACATAAACATAAATTGTATTGTTTCAATGCTGGGATCGTGGTGTTATCTCGTAAAAATATATAAATAAATGTGAACTGGTTCATTTAAGTGCTTACATAATTCTTTACAGCAGCAGAAGCACACAATCAGTATGATGATAGTTAGACCTAGCAACACTCCTAACACGACAGCCACTATTACACCAACACTCAAACCGGTTTCCTCTGTTGCTGCACCCGTATCAGCTATAAAACAAACGCTTGTCAATTAGTGCAAACCTCTATGTGACATGGAATAATGTACTTCCTGTCAATCGGTTTATCAACGCATGCTATCAACACAGTGGAAATTGTCACGGCGGAGGAAATATTTATAAAATTTTGAATCTTGATTAAACATTTTTCTAAAATTAATTATGATATCAGAAAAGTCCTTATGCAAATCACCATTATATCAACAACTTTATACTGTAAATGCTCGAAGGAGAAATAGTGACAATAATTGGAAAATTGTGTGACGTATATAATCTCCACGGGAGCTGTGAGGTCTAAATGAAGAAATAAAAGGAGAGTTCCAAATGATTAACTGGGTCACGCGTCATATTATTTTATTTATGTCAACTGAATTAATTATATACATTATACAATTGCACACCTAAAATATATATACATGACACTGGGCAAACTAGCCGTTTAATTTAGGAAAATACATTGATCGAAATATTTATAAACTATACTGACGAACAGAGGATTCCGTTGTGGTTGTAGTCAAACTCCCAGGACCTGTAAAATTACAGAAAAAAAACATCAAACAATTATTTTCAGTTTTTTAGCTAAATATTAAGTTTATCAGAGATGAAATCGTCGGCTTTTAGGGGACTTAAACACATAAATATTTCATTTTATCTATTTAAAAAATACAAGTAACAAATTTATACTTCAAGTTGTTAGAAAACACATATTATTACTTACTGACACAACTACTTGACCCAGTGGAACCCTGTCCATCTGTGGTCAGTTCAACTGGACAAGCTTTACAACTGATGGAACCAAGAGATTCCTGGTAATATCCCTGCCCACAAAGGTCACACGTGCCTTGGTTAATATTAAGGTTTGTATTGGGTGGGAATGCATAATAATTCCCAGGGAGACATCTTTCTGTAAGATACAAAACGGTATTAACTTAATCATAAATATATGACAAACCTCTCGTTAATACATGTCCCTATGAGATTTTAGTATAACACGAGGTTATAAAAATGAGTACAATACTGAATTCTAATTGACGGCTATACAGCAAATAAATAAATATTTGGACAAGGCGCTACTCTCTTTATACCACACCACCTTTTCTTATGATGAAACACTAAATTTAAGAAAACACTGAATTCGAAAATCACGTAACAAATGTTCACGTGGCTGTGTTTAATTGATAATCTGTATTTAATCTAAACTATATGACTATCCAATTTGTTCTTTTCTATCTGCTTTGAGACAGTGATTTTAGCATTATTAGTCTATGAAGTGACAAGTAGTTGTAAGAATTTTTCTCTTTTTTTATAAAATGTTTGAAAAAGAACCAGTTCTCACGTATGCAGTACGTCTGCTCCCTGGCGCCTTTATCCGGTGTGGTTTGACTCGTGAAGCACGAGGTGCAAGTAGAAACAAGGTTTGAGATATCGCTGCGGTATGTACCAACTGGGCATCTTTCACATGCTTTCGTGGAAGAATTATAAAACGTTCCTTGTCCACATGAAACTGTAAAATATAAGTATTTCATATAAAAGAATGTTCATTCACAAGATTTTATAGGTACCACTGTGTTCCTAATATCACACATATTGAATATACGAAAATACTCGGAATGCAGTCACCATAAGTACAGGTGGGCAAATGCTCTTAAAACACTCCAAGTCGACATACTCTTGTTTAAATCTCGTGTAATCATTCTCATACCAGAAAACACTTCCCACAGTTCTTATCTTATTCAAAAGTACTAAAATGTGTAAATGTTCTGTATTAAAGAGCATCTCTATAAAGATCACCGTGTAAATAAAGGCCACTGTTCGACAAACCTTCATTGATTAAAAATAAAATAACCTCTATACAAAGACCATGTTCGGACTATTCCTTGTATGATCTTTGTTCGCAGGTTTAACTATGTGTATCATCGAAATTGGTAAGGCAAACATATATTTCGACCTCAGTGTCTCGCGACTGAACTTGCTATATTTCAGCCATACCCTTGCAGGCGGTGTTGAAAATTATACGCTGATATTCCTTTTTCTTACAACCAGTATTTTTTTACAATCCGTATTTAAATAACACATGTCCAAAACAAATTCTTCATCAACACAGAACCTACTGTAACATTAAAATTATCACCATCATCAAAATGGTACAAGTATTGCATTTTTGTATACAAACAACAAGCTAGATCTGTTGGTATTTCGGAGCCCCGATATATTATAACATAATACATATTAAAATGTACATACCGCATTTATCTTCTTTAACCATATAACCAGCAACACATTCTGGTGTTGTTGTTAGAACAAGGGTTGAAAGATCTGGTGATATGGTCTGAAGCAAAGAAAAAAATGTTGATACATATGTAACTCTAAGCAGTTTCAAACAATTATATTTACTTTATACCTGTATTTAAATATGGAAAATATGTTATAACAAAATGAAGCACCGTCCGGTCAGCCGTTGGACTGTAAATCGGGCGACCCTGATTAGATTCTCGGACAATGCAGGTCACTTTCCTTGTGATTGATCATTAAATCCTTTCTATGATTATTCGTACTGTACCTTTGTTCTTGCACACTATTCAAAAGGAACCAGTACTGGTAAACTGCTCGCAAGCTTGGCCAGAAACAATGCAGTGGCTCAACTGTGCTCTGGTTAATTCAATGTGCTTGCTGCCGTGATCTGGAGTGACAACTACCAATATCACTACGTAACAAACCAAAACAAAAAGTCTCAAAGATTTATTACGATAAATAGGAAATTGGGTCTGTTCACAAATGTATATAGACCACACAGCATCATTTTAACTGAATTTTTTTCCGAAACAAGAACTGTAAATAGAACAAGATAACACGACTATTCTCAGTGCTTGGTAGTGAAACAGTTACCCCTTATTATACTCTCAAATAAGAGTATGAAGTTTAAGCCAAGGTAAGCAATAAAAGAAAAGTTAAATGAGTAATTAGGTTCTGGTTCGTTGTATGCCTCATGTACTCGCCAGAATACAACTGAACACATTCATTTTGTTCGATATAATTTACCTATCCGAGCAATATACGTCATGCAGTATTCCTTTTATATCGCCAATAAATCAAAGACAATATATATTATATGGTACATGATAGAATGTGATAGACTATGACATTATTTTTATTATATAATAGTGATATGATATAACATGAGATTTTATATGATACCGGGGTATATAGAGAATAACATGCTACTGTCTTTTGATATCAATTTTATCAGGCGAGGCTGATATGGGCTAGAAAGGGCGAGGCTTGCCGATAAAATTAATATCAAAAGACAGTAGCATGTTTTTCTATTTATCATGTAACACATAATAACTGTCAAAATAACAAAATAATCTACTTCTAAATAGCGAATTTCGTTAAAAAGGGGAATTTTTGTTCAAAGAAATAATTCTTGAAAACAAATTCCTCCGCCCCTGACACTTAGAATTTGTAATTGGCGGCCATTTTTTCTTTCGACTCGGATAAAAGATACAACAGAATGTAGGCCTAATACGATAACATTCTTACCTTAAATTTAAACATCGATCCAAAAAATCCGCTAAGAATCACATAAACTAAACTTTACTGCAATTTTTGTCTTGAATTGTCAAATTCAAAAGTTCACGATAATTTCAATCAAAGAAAAGTCAAATCGGCAATCAAACACAAGCTACACAAACATATATCAAGTAACTAAATGAAATGTATCTGTTTATTATTAACAATTAAAACAAATACCAGATTAGTTTGGACATAATCAAACGCCTTGAAGTCCCCGACGGCAATCTTGAGTAACTCCTCAGTCGTGACACTTGATCCTTCGTACGTCATGAAAGAACTAAAATAATTTACAATTTATACTTGTATTGTTATAGGGTAGCCCTCAGCTTGGTGGTGAGAACTGATTCTATCCATGCGGCCAGTGCAGACCAAGATCAGTCAGAACATCCGTGTTAACTGGTCATGGTCTGTACTGTTCACTATTCAGTTTGTATTTATTTTAATTCTTTTCCTTTAGAGAAGAATTGTTATATCCAGATGTTCATTGATTATAAGATACGATAAGAGTAAAGTTAAGAATGTCAGTATTCGCATATAACAATAAAAATGATGACATATTTTCAGAAATGTCGCGAACCATTAGTGTAAAAATTTACTTATTACCATATTTGTCTGTTTTCTCCACAGAAGTTTTTTTTTATTTCTATAATCATAAAAAATGTATGTCCTTTAATTGTATTGTATTGTAGCTACAGAATTTAAATTATAGAATCTAATTTTTGATGCAGAAATAAAAGCGTTGGTACAAACATGTATGCTTAGTTTCCAAATAATCATGTTTGCATATCCCACTAACATTTGCGGTGCTTATTCACAATGTGCCCAAGCCAATGAAAGATAGGTTATGTTCTAAGTATATACGTGTTTATTTAATACCATGTTCTATTACAATAAATGTTATGTATTAATCGCTTACAAGCTGACATATATAGAATGATTTGGATTTATATTATATGCATCGCATTCCTTAATCTTGAAGTAAAGTAATATGAAAGATACATGGAAAAATAAAACACCTTGTTAATCCAAAGTTGATGGAAACACGTATGTTGTTTCCGTCGCATGTGAACGCTGGAATCATGACATCGATGCAGTCATTGGAACATAGCTTGTTGTTTTGTGCTTGTTGGTTGTTAAGGAGCACAAATTTGTTGCGGACAGCAACACTATATTGCGAGATAATGGTACTGTCACATGTTCCTAAACTAGACATTGCTGTCAAACTGAGAGAAACGCGTTGGGTCATGCTCGTTGTTGCTTTATAACAAAAGAGAGAAAAATATGATATATCTTGTAACAATCAAACATGTACATAAATGTATGTAACTTAGTGATAACTTTAACAATTCCCTTCAATTGCTTAGATTTGTGGAATTTGCCCTACAACGAATGCCATGTTATAGATAGTTTTTTCCGCTTTAGAATATAAGAATATATTTCTAACTTCAAAAAGATACAATCAATTACAACATACGGAATTCTATTGCACATGGCAAATGAAATATTGAATTAATATGTTTTGGGCTAGTAAACAATCATCGGTTTATAGAATTTTTTATTAAGGATATAAAAAACTATAATTCATCACGAATTAGGATATTAATTAATCTATTTAATGGAAGAATTTTTAACAGATATTTTAACTTCACTGCAAGCGCTTCATTTTCATACCTGAACATGTTGGATAGATATAATCCGTATATTTCACCGCCTCGTCCCACATTCCGTACATACTACATGTAAGATATAACGGCTGGTTACCGGGAAGCAAATTATTGCTAGAGCAATCTTCCGTGCATGCAGTAACTCCAGGTCCTAAATCGTTGTTACAGTTTGCGTTAGTTCCGTCAATACTTCCACAACCAACATCTAATGTAAGAAGCATATATCAAAACTGCGTATAAATACTCATAGTTAATGGTGCATATACTTTAAAAACAATTTCCTTAGCCAAGAATATAAATATTCAACTGTTTTAAAACCGACCTGACTGTCCCAAAAAAATTAACATTTCAAAGGCCCTTTGAATTGAATAAAGATGATCAGTACTTTGAGTCTTGATTAACTTCTTGTAAGTCTATATCAATAAGGCTTTCGTAATAATTTAACTATCAAATTCTGTGTTCTTTCAGATTAGAAGTGTCAAATTATCACTCTATCTAATAAACACTCCATTTAACAAATACAAATTTAAATCATTCTGTACATTCGTGCTGTATGACCAGGATATAATTTTTTGTTTTAAAATTCAACCATTCTGAAGTCTTACAATTATAGACAGTTCAAAACGTAAAGCATGATATACGCATTATATAAATGTTCGATAGAGTATAAGTATCTGTGCAACTACTAATCAGGGCGTACAATACCAAGTGACAATGTAAACTAGTATAATGTTTGTCTTACCACTATAGAAGAGTCTAAAGGTACACACTGCGGCATCACCCTCCCCGTCTAGATTGGCATAACTTATACCATGTACACCGTAATCATATCTAGATCCTGTATATACGATATATGAGAGTAAATTGTTAAAAGGATTATGAAAAGTGATAAATAGTCGTTGTACTATAAATATGCATTGTTAAACACCAACTGATAAATTATTTCCTTTTAAATGCTTTCCCTGGAAGACGGAAAGACGGAACTAAAAAAAGATGAATAGATCACATGTTCTGGCTGCATACGCTATATAAAAAACAACTTTTGACTTATCTTTGGAAAGAAAGAAATTATGCCGTTTTGATGCTTTCTTTTGTTTGAAGTACATGTAAACACTTAACATTATTGATCAATCAATTAAAATGTAAATGCCTTTTTAAGATTTTCTGATGCATAACCATCTTTATGCAATGTATGGAAAGTTTGGAATGGTTTCAAATCAGTCATATGATAATTCAAATTTTTATAAAAAATAAAACACTACCTCCAGCATTTGTAATAGATGGAAATGATCCTGAAAAGACCGGTTCTGTCCAGTTGAAATTTACCCATCGTGCCCTAACAACAAACGTGTCTCCCGGGCAACTGTTGATTGTCGGTGCACTGGCACCTAAATGCAGAACAAATCAAAAAAACTTAATGAAATTAACAGAATAAATGAAGCCCACCAATGCCCTTTGATATTATAATTTTTCATTTCAATTTAAAGTGCCATACTCGATACCGCTGACGACTTATATATAAATCTAGTTCAATCTTAGGCTTTGGTCATGCGCTTAAATTGTGACTAATTGTAGCTAATTTATTTACTAGATAGCAAATGTATGCAATGGTTTTAATTGAAGTGGTAATTTATACTCAATGTTTAGTATTTAATCGAATTCCGAATGCAAGGAAAGCTTTCTTCCTTATTCAACTAAGAAACGTTCATTTCATGAATTCAGTGCTATAAGATTATATGTACACTTACGTTCATCAATTCCTTTACAAGTGTTGTCAGATGGCAAGCATTTATTACTATTTAAACTAAGCTCGCTGTTGTAGGTCACAGAATAAAGCAGTAACGTAGTTCTTTCCTGGATCAAGATGACAGCATTTTGCGGAGGTGTGTAAGATCTGTAGGGTAAAATAATGATTTACACCATTAACTTATATAAATAAAATCAAACACTGCAGGTGTGTACAGAAGAAATATTCGTTTGTTGAAGGAAAATGATTATCATGGCCAACTGTTCATGTACACATTAGTCAGAAAAAATGTATAAGTTTGAAAGTAAACTAATGCAAAATATAATGTTCATCATCAACCGTATACTGTCCTATTTAACATTCCAGTACACAATCAACCTCTACATAAAGACAATGAAGCTTTAACCGGTGAACAGCCGTGCACCAGCAGATCCACCCGACTTTCGCAAGTCAAGAAATTCAAAAATAATGTTAACATCTGTTAACCTGGAGTACAGCTGAGGAAGAAGATCAGTAAGGTCTGTGCTCACAACATATAGACGGTTAACAAGACCTTCGAAACTATTATCTGGAACAGTAAACCCGTCTTGTTCGTCAAAGTCCCCAAACACAAGAAAACCACTGAAATAAGAATAGACATATATATGTGTTAGATATACTAAACATTCATTCCATTTTTATACAAATGCATTATAGCACAGATTATTCTTAAATTCAATAACGTTTTTTCTTCATAATGAACAATATTTTCTTAAACTAAAACTATTCCAAAAGTAAGTAATAGATGAATTTTAAGTATGAAACAAACAAAAACACAGAACTAATGAAATTTTATCATTTAAAATGATGATGAAATGAAAACAACTTACAAGTTAAAGTCTGTAAGTAAATGCTTTGTAAAGAAGTGTTAGAAAATATAGAATGGAGTTTTGAAATGCTACAAAATGGAATGTTTTTCTGTTGACAGTTTTATGTGTTGAGTTGTGATGATAAATACTGGTCGGCAGTTCGAAATTGGGAGTCGGCTAGAGTAGACGTTTGTACACTTATGTAGAATTAAATATGTAAAAGTTCTGCATTTTGTTACTCCATTATACCTGGCGAAAACGGTCGTTTTGGTGCCGTGACCAGGATTATCATGACCACTCAACACGTAAAACTGTCAACATCATAAACATATATTCTCATAAAAATTGATATACATGCATGGGTTTGAAGTTATATGTAGAACTGTTATCGATCATTCTTGACATATTGTAACCATCCAGTGCAGTTGCAAGTATTTTGTCAGATAACATACATAAATCATTGTCATGTTTAAAGTTCACATAAATGAAACATATATATGGTAAAACTGTGTTCGTCATTCATTTACATAAAATATGTATGAGTAATTAGCCTGCAATGCAACACACGTTCCATTACTGTCCATGAACAGGCACAATCAGACCGAGCCAACATTCTCAAATTTGTCGTTTTGGGCGTTTGTTGAGGATTCCATTTTCTCTAATTTAATAAACAATGTCGACCAACGGGAATTCTTTGTATTTGTAAACTTTCTTTGCCCTAAATGTTATGAATTATTATTTCTTTTCTTGCATCTTGCATTATCAGATGTGTTTACTTTCTGGTAACTTGTTAATTACAACCACCTCTGACATTGAAGATTGTTATTGTTTGATAATGGCTTCTATAGAATCTTGCTTCGACCGAAATCTGTAACTTTTGTAATGTTGTTACTTACAAAAGTACAAATATTCTGAATAAAATATTTTTGAACTAACGGAAATTTTCATGTTTAATGTAGTGCAGACTACACTATCACGTATTGGTCAAACTAATGGATGGGAAAAAATATATATTTCGTTGACACCAGTTTACTTTGACGTCTTCTGTTAACACGGGACACCAATCGACCAAAATGTTAGCTGAACCGAATTATTTTGTCAGATCATTACAAAAATATCACCAGTTACTAACGTGCCTTAATAAGTATCATTAGGTAAACTAGTTTCTGGATAAAGATAGGTTTATAACTAAATACACACATAATATACGTCTATTATACTGAATACATGTGACTATACTATCTACAGGGCATGCAACTGAATAGAATACTAGCAAGCTATATCGATATATAAAACATTCTAATATATTTTTAACTTACACAGTTACTCCGTTGCTGAAATACCAGTTTCATATAGATTTATATAAAAATAAAAGAAGGGTTAGATAGAAGAGTGGATGGAGGGTGATGTAATTTATATGTATGAATGTGTTAATAGTCCAAAAGTTTAAATAATCAGGTCTGTCCAAAATGAATTCGCTAATGTTAACGTCATAATTAGTCATTATTATACCATACTATTTTGAAAAAGGGAAGACTTTGTCAACAATTGTATGTAGTGTATATCAAAATTTATAATACTGCATATTTGTAACGTCGTTTTTCATTGGATAACCGTGATATTTGTACAATCTATAAACACGGCTGCAGTCAATTTATGAATTAATTTCATTTTTCCCAAATAAAAAAGGTTTTGCAGTATTACAAATTTGTTATAAAGATTCTTAATAGGCTATATGGCATATATAAATTTTATTTGCAATATCACCGGAGTTGTCTTTTATACAAACAACCTTTTATATAAGGGACATATAAGTTATGATAACCTGTCTAAAATTTGAAAAAGTAAAACGTATACATTTTTGTAAACAAAAAAGAATTCTATATATTTTCAATTTATTGGTAAAACTATTAATAAACTTATAACCACTGTTATTCGTTATCATGAAATTGATTAGTAAAAACTTCAAAAGAAATTACCTAATATTTTTTACCTAGTTAATGTAATTAACTAAATGCATACACTATTAAAATGAAGTTAAATATCAATAGAAAGAAAAACTTTGAATAAGTTGATTAAGATCAAAATGATTTTTTGCGTAGTGAGCTCTTAATTACATGTACAATTTGATTTCACAAATGGCGCCTAATGATGTTAATAAGTTTGAAATAGATAAAATTACAAAATAATGTACATGTACTTCAATTTGTATTATCTTGTATTTACGAAAAATCAACTTGATAACCTTTAAATCGTTAATTATTCATCAAATACTAAGTTCTCTAAAAATGATATAAGAAAGGAAACGTAAAAATGTGAGTCTGCAACAAAATTTTAAAGTCATGTTCAAAACAGCTTCTAAATCAACATATAAAACAGGTCATTTAATTATTCAGTAAAATGACTTTAATCATGACGTGAAATGTGAAATGCCTGTTTAAAATGATCAATATCAGAGTTTCCACGACACAGACATAGTTTCTATAGAAATGCCACAATTCATACAAGCTAAGCACCAGTACGATACCTGGCCATTGCGCTCACAACTTAATACATGTACACAAACACCTTTATAAGCTTGTTGTTATGGCAACATCACAAACACACAAAAAAACTTACACATTTCCAGTGGGTAGGTTCCGTGAAAAGAAGCTCGAGTCCTCATACTGTCCGTCAATGTAAAGAAATATTTCTTCAGATGAAGCCGACCAAACTATTAAGAAATGGTGCCAATATCCGTCTGCGACTGACTTCCCATACGACAATGTCTAAAATAAAATTAATAGCTTTATATTAATAACCAGATACATGACTTTGCAAGATGTTCAGAAAACAGACCTAATGTGTAGACTTCCTTTAAAATAATTTCAAATTAATAAATATGTTAATATTTACAACCAGGCACATGGCATTTCAAGATGTCTTCCTGAGAAAAATATATCATTCAAAAACCAAATTAAAAGTCTATGATTTATGTGTAAAACATTTCATTTTGTGAAAATTTGAAATGAAGAATAAAAATATATACAAAATTGCACTATCATTTGAGACCTGCGTTTTCTTCTGATATATCAATGATATGGTAAAATAGTAAAGACTAGGATGCATTTTTTGTGACCATTATTAAAGATATAAATTAAACTTGACTTTCATTAACTAGTAATATACTTGATTATCGTACGGATATACTGGTAAACACAAATTATATAACTATAGTAATTGTGATATGTTATATGGCCTTATACAAACGGGTGTTATAAAAACAAACCAATCTATACACACCACTAAATAACAGGTAAAACTTCGACTGCATATTGCTGCATAACTTCTTTTTTTATAATATACAAAATATTTCATAAATTTACAGCAGAAGTGTACATGCATATAGATAATATAAATGCCACGATTATCCAATGAAAAACGGCCTTTCAAATGAGCATTATAATTATAAAAATTATAACAAGACATTACATTGACTTATGGCTAAAGAATGTTATGACTTATAAACAGGATTAAATGTTGTTATATGTTATTTGTACCCGTGTTTCTCGTTTCCTCCTTGTTACACTGTCAGTTTCATATAATTCTAACTCCTCCGTGTAGAACGTCAGTTTGACGTCAGGTGACGACGGTATCATCTCGCCACTGTAAACATACAATAAATATAAGATTTGGTAAAAAATAAACCATATCATGTTTGTATTCGATCATTCTTAATATTGTCCCCTAAAGGAAGTGACTTAATATCAGAAGACAGTTTACACTAGCTTAAGGTGTTAGCTTATCCGTTTATATACTGTGACAGGAATTGAAAGAAACAAAAAAGTTACAAAAGTGGCAAATAAAATTTTGAAAGCCAAAAACTAAGTGTTTGCGTGTGCATTTTCTACATGTACAGAATGTGTGCATTGGCATTAGCACACCTGGTTATAAATAAGACTGAAATAAACAAACTGGAAATTGCCAAGATGGTTTTAAGAAATGTAGCAAAGAAAGTAAAAATGAGCTACCTATTATAGAATGTGTTATAAAGCATGGAAGAAAGTCCTTATTCCTTGTTTTCAAGGCAAACAATTTTTGGTTTCATAGAATTACTGTTTAAAAACTAAATGTATGTTATCGTGGCTATATGCTAAAACAATTTGTGATTAACATGTCATTATTTTACGTACACAACAGAATATAAAATGCAACCAAAATAAAGTACCATTTCTTAGTACTGGCGAGTTCCTTGAACGGATTCTAGAGAGTTTCAAAACGTTAATAGTTTCCAACACAATCGAACTAAAATAAATTCGAATAAACTAAATTATTCCGAATTGAATTACAAGACATAAAGTAAGAAAACATATAGATAGATAGGGGTAAAAGAAAATGTGCAAGGAAAGTATATTTTACCCTGTTCTTGATCCATATATTTTCATAATGACACCGTCTCCATGTACCGCCTTGTACCTGGCCCAGAAAGATATCGACAATGAATTGATGTCAGTTTGTCCGTCACCAAACATTGCTAACGATGCCTCGGTACGACATAGTAGTTGTGGTGTTATAACATAGTCAAATGCATCTCCTACCACTGAAATATATAATAATAAATATATGCATGTTATATTTCAATAATTACAAACATTATCACTATGAACTTTTCATGCATTTCTTGCGTTGCAATTGGTTTTGTTTTCACAGCCAACTTATTATTAGATTGTTGGTGTGCCTAGTTTTAATATGTTAATAGATACATAGATTCTACATAACAGAATGTGAAGAAATTAGATTCTTTCTTTAAATAAAGTATTTAAAGTTACATTTGTTTGTTGTCATTGAGGATCAAACATTTTAAGTTTTAAATAAAGTATTTTAAGTTACATCCTTTTTAGTAATTCAGTATCATACAGAGAATTGAATACCGCTTGAGGTGGTGCTGGGGGGGGGGGGTGTAAGACGTCGCACTCTGCATTATACATGTATCTGATGTAAAGGCTTTATAAAACCGGGCCTACCATCTTCAACAATTTGTTTTTGCTTTCATTGATCTCGAGGGAACTCAATAGAATTTAGATACCAACCAAAATAAAACTTAATATGTGGGTTGAAGCAATAGCAGATGCAAATATAGATAAACTGTTACGTTTGTCACAGGATTCTCCACTATAACCACTAGCACAGACGCACGTATATCCACCAGCATTGTTGCTCAGACATTGACGATTTGATCCACAAGGATTTGGTGAACAACTTCCTGTCATAGAGTCACATGTCTCACCAGTATAACCTATATGATACAATAATATCACAACATAACAAAACGTATAATATATGAATTATGAAAACACTTATGCAAGCTTAATATTACACTTTAAACACAAGTTTCAAAGTCAAAACAAAACAATCGTCTTGTATTTCTAAAAATATACAAATGAATTACTTTTCAGAATGTATGTTTCCAGTATTCTTAAATTTGAAAACATTACAAAGTCAAATTTTCTACTGAAGAAAAAAAAACGATATTTGATTTTAAGTATATGTTTTCATTGTTTCTTATATATTAAAATAAACTATAAAATTTACCGTCAGCACAGTCACAAGTTACACCATTTCCCGTGTTAGTGCACGTGGCTCCGTTCTTACAGACATTATCAGAACATGTGGGAAGCACGTTCTCACAAAAGTTGCCGCTGTATCCTGTAACATAAACATCTGCATAAAGTGATGATAAATTGTGTCATAAAACAAATAACACTATCTTCTTTAATAATAAAATATACTTGACTTAGTATTCCTACTTGAATATTGTATAATCACCCTTAGGATATGTTGCATGCTATTTATATTTGCCTTTGACGTCTTGTCTGTCATATGCAGACTTCATAACCTCAGAACCCTTTTTCGAAATTCCATTTTATTTAGTTTCGCCCATTTTTGCACACTCATTCTTTTAATTTGGGACCATACGCCGCTTTTTATAGAATGACACTACTGTGTCAAATTGAAGGTTCCATGATAACCTCCGTATGAACACATCTGCAAATGTTTCTTAATTTAAATTCAAAATTTTGCCATTTCATATTTAAATGTTGAATTCTGCTTAAGCCGGTGCTAGGGGGCGTAGGCGGTAGTTTGCACTTGACGGTTGACAGGCTCAATCAAACCTATGTTACATATTCAATTTTGCCGTTTTGGACTTTCTTTGAGGATTATTATTTTCTCTATTTTAATGCTGCAATTCTGTGCAGGCATATACCTTTAATATAAACATCTTTCCACCGCGTAAAGCCCTTTGCTTGGTTTACTTCCGGCTCAGTCAGTTTTTTTAATCAAACATAATTCGACATTTGCTAGACCAGGGATTATTTTACTATTTTGTTTTATATTGACTTAAGCTACTCTGGCAATCTCTAAATAAACTATGCTTTTATATGAGCTTACTGTCTTGAGCACATTAAAATCCAAATGACGCAAATAAAATTAATTCCGATAAAGATAAACACAACGCATTACATGCAGACAGACAGTAGGTCATGTGTGCATTGTTCCTTGAGCAATAAGCAAGTAAAGCAAACTGTCTCACCCTCTTGGTTGTCTCGAGACCAAAACAAGAAAACTACCTGGAAAATGTTACTCTTGTTATTAAGAATGTACAGTAATGCATTAACCTGTTTGACAATCGCATGCGAAATTGCCATTTTCGAACGAGCAGGTACTTTCGTTACCACTGCACGGGTTGGCACGTGCACATAAGTCGTAAGTTACGGAACAATCATCACCAATATAGTGATCTGGACATCTGAAGAAAAAAAAGAGATGGATGTTTCTTACAAGATAGCAATGTTTTTCTAAACAATACAAAATCGATCAAATCTCTTGTATACCTAAATATACCAACGGACACAAAATAAGAACAGGGGGGGGGGGGTGGTGAATTAAATACATGAATTTGCTATATATAAGATCAGAGCTCTTTTCAACGAATCAAAACCAATGAACAAGGGCAAACTATCGGAAACCATAAAAACTAAGTTATGCTAAATAACGGACAAGTTCTAGTATAGTACCCAAGAGGTGAAGACGATTAAAGAGACATTCTTTAGTTGTTATGTAAAAGAGAACTCAAAAATTGTGCTTATTTACTAAAAAGTCGTCCGAAAACAACATTCAGCAAATAAAAACTACTGTACACTTTATGATTTAGGAAATTTAAGAAAATTAAATTTAAATATCGTAAAACATGTATCTTTGTCTTTAAATTTGAAGATTATTTTGATTATTCATCATTGAAATAAATAACAAAATGACATACTTGCATCTATATCCTGACGTCGTACTATAACACGTGCCTCCATTAAAACACATGTTCCCATTCGGACATCTGTTTGGTAACTGGTCACAGAATCTTCCTGTCCACGGCTGGATACAAGAGCACGAGAAAGAAGTTGCGTTGTTGGATGTGCAGTTGCCGCCGTGTTTGCATGGGTAACTTTTACATATTGAAGTCTCAATCTAAAAACAACAAATATTTATCAAGTGGTGACAGTTCCTGTTGCTTTGCAATTTACTAGTATTTCAATAATCTGCTTGTTCGGTTGACTTCAGTGTTCCGACAGGATATTGTCGCAAAAGAAATTAAGTACATGTACAAAAACTACTAAGTAATATTAATTTTCTTATTAAACTTAAACTTGAAATATTACTTTTGTTGTTACAAACAATGGAATTACCTCGCATGACCTTCCTGCGTAACCGTCAAGACATTGACACTGGAAATCATCGTTGACATTTAAACACGTGTCCGTGTTGTCATCGTTACACGTGTTACAGAATTGTTCATCCGGGCTTCCACACTTTTTGTCGCCTGTTCATTAAATATGATGTTAAGATATATGAATATAAACACATTTAGTTGTAATTTGTGTCCAGAAAACATATTTTTGTATACAATGTCTTTTCTGCTATTACTGTGAAATAAACTTTATCAACATTGTTTACTTTACTAAATGAGAAAGAAGCAGTAAACTTAAAAAAAATTTAAAAGAATTTAGTAAAATTTACCGTCTGTTTTGTATTGTAATATTGGACAAACATCATCAACAGACTTTACTTACAGGCTTTTCTGAATTGGCAGTAGTGTCCATGGTAACCGTCGGCACAGTTACAAGTGAACGAGTTAACGCCATCTATACACGTGGCTCCATTCTCACAAAAGTTTGGACTACAGTCATCTATAATGAAATGCATATGTAAATTTACATAGTAAATTCATTTGGTCTACGTGCTCAATGAGGTTCAATCAGTCTCTAAAGCATAGCAACAAACTAAGGTATAATTATGGATTTTGCCTAGTCATTGACGGTACATCTTTTCGGACTGTCCAATTATCATTTCAAAACAAACCAAAACCTTTCATTTTAATATTATCTATCTAGTGTAGCACATGTAAATGTATAACACAATAAAACTTAATATTCCATAGGTATCACATAAACTCATGTGACACTTGCTAACAAAGTTAAAGCCTTTGTATGCGCATGTGCGTGTGTGCGTGCGCATGTGTAAAGATAAATATAGAAAGTTTGTCAAAAGAAATATTTACACTAATATATTCATTATATTGTTTTAAAGTTACCTATGATTAAACACAAAGTATTACTAGATATATAATGAAATTAAGTATGTTGAAAGCAAATTGTGATGTAATCTTTGCTTCTTTTTTTGTAAAGAAACTATGAGTCAGTTTATATGAATAAGATCTATATAACAGAAGAAATACATACCTATACTTGTATTACAATAAATGCCCGTAAATCCTGGATAACAATCACATGTTTTGTAGAAATGACTGTTGTTGTAACACGTGCCGTGCTCGCACGGGTCTACGGAGCATGGGTTTATCTTGGTATTACATGTTCCGCTGTAATAAAATAATACATATCATACCCATGTTCTATTATAAAATAACATATAGCAAAAGAACTTAAAAAAAACGAGAAAAAAGACGAAATATTAATAAATATTTACATTTCTTGGCGCTGTTCTTAAATATGTTTATATGGAATATGTGAAAATAACAATAAACAAAACCTACATTAAAAGAATAGGTTATGTAAATGCTATCATTAATTGTAAAAAAACATAAGAATATATTGTTTACAGAAATTTAAGTAAACAATTAACATTTTCATGTACTTCTTGTCAACTAAGAAATTTTTCTCAAGAGATATTATAGTATTTTCACAAACCTGGTTTCAGCGATTTTCGATTAGTTCATTATTATGTTTAATTTCAATCTTTAAGGTTTTGATTTAATGTTACCCGTCGATATAAATTATAAATGTAATGAGAAACCATCACCATGACTGACTTTTCAGTTTTCAGGCTTAAAACATGGTTACCTAATAATTATACAATCTATTTTAGCTATATGTACAAATAAATCTCCATAAAGCAAAGCACACATTTAAGCGAAACTTGTTAATGTCTTAAAATAAGAATATCAATAAATAGAGGATATTGAATGAGTGTAAATTCAATACTGAATTTATTGAACGAGTTGAATAAAGTTATATTATGCGAGCCTCTTGCAAGCATAATATTATTTTATTCAAAGTGTTCAATAAATTAAGTATTGTAATTACACGACTATAATATTCTATTTATCACATATCCAAAATAAAGAGTGTTTAAAGTGAAAAAAATATTTTTAATGGCGCGCTTATAGTGTAGTACTAACATTTAGCGCGTCTTCACACTAAGTTTGTATAACGCAAATGACATCAAATCAAAAAATGCATTACCGTTTTTACGGAGGCGCAAAGTCGGCACGGGTATGTGATAAATGATACATGAATTATCGGGACAATTTGAAGTTATATAAAGTACCATCAGTATTGCTGAAATGTATATTTTCAAACTTAGACAGCTCAACTAGATTTTTAGAATTCACCAAAGAAGTGTGACGCTTATTTAAGAAAGGTGAAGACCAAACTGTAGTGCCATAATTTATAAGAAAGGAAAATCTAAGGTGAGAAGGTAACATAGTTATAAAGCCCGTCACAATATCAACTCTGTATCTTAACTTACTTTGCCGGTGTTCTAAAAAGATTCAAACATAAAGAAACTTCAGTCAGAAAAATGGAATATTTTGAGACTTGATCTTAACAAATAAAGTTTTAAAACTGACGTTTTTAATAAAAACATTAGCGGGAGAGGGTATTAACTAGTCGTAACCAACATTCTAATCATCTCCTAGGACTGATGATCAAAGCGGTCGCTAATGCTTGGTCGAACTCTTTTAGACCTTCAGAGCTAGACATATGTAAGGGTCATTTATCTGCTGAGGGTTATGTCCCTGCCACGTTACATACAATATGTTGATTCCTTCTTAAGTTATTAATCAGACAATGACGAGGTGACGTACGAATGCACGTGCGATCGCACAAACGAACGGACCCAACTAAACCACAGTTTGATCCTACATTTTGTGAAATTTTATGTTAAAATTCGTAGCAAACAAGGCAACAGCGTGATATTAATAGAAGCATTCATTTGTATTAGTGTTTTATTCTGATACATTTAAATTTATTCACATACATGTTACATCATTTAGTTAGTATCACTGTTAGGCAAAGCAAACCTTAGTAGCACTTACTCATGAGCAGTTCTGTAATAAATCAATTACGTAAATATGTGTTCCCAACAATATATTATTTAAATAATTAAATCACAATTGGAGAGATGACATGGTCAATGTGGTCTGTATTATATTTCTGGAATCATTGTCATAGAAATGTCACCGATTACAAGCAAATGGCACGTTAGGGTTTTCTTGATATATCTAATAATATCATAATTGAATAATCCTAAAAATAATCATTTCTATAAATGGCATGTACACGTGTTTATTAACGCAGAGATTCTATATATACTTAAACTCTATGAAATGTTTCTCCTTAATTGTACTAATATAGTGAAGGAGTAGCAATGTCATACATATATAGCTTTTATTTCACAAATACGTGAAACAATTCTCGAACATCAGTATAACAAATGTACATTATATCTGAACGTTTGTTAAATTAACAACTTTAAATGAAATGCAGTGAATTTCGTACATGTATTCAAAGAGTTTTATTACTCTTAGAAATTTTAAAACAATATTTTTCATTCCCTAATTTCTGTCAGACGCATTTTAGAATAGATAGACTATAGTTTCACGAATTTAATCATATTTTTCATAGGTAAAGCAATTTTATAACATTTTTTTGCTAGATTTGAATAAATAAGCATTTAAAGATATATATCAGCAAATATTTAAGATAGAATTCAATTTTGACATAAAAATTTGCAAATGAATAATTCAAATTAAACCCTCACAAGCTTAAACCTTTCAAACTTCCGGCATGCCAAAAGCGTTAAACCCGGTATCTAAGCAACGCAAAAGGGCGACGCATTAGAGAAGTTTAAGCCCTTAAAGCATAAGACATTAAGGCATTTACAGATTTAAGATAAGTTAATTTTGCAGTGAAATAATGAGAACAATCGTCTGTTTAAACACATGCAATCTTCATACTCCATACCTGCCAGTACCTCTAGGACTGGTAAAAAAATTAGAAAATATTTTACACTAGTATGTTTAAAAAACAGAACGGACTTGTTAACTTTAACCCTTGGTGCTCGAACCAAAAGGGGTAAGCCTTTTACACCAGTATAGAGGTAGGCCAGCCTGTACATCCGCTCTATACTTATGTCTAATAAGTGTTTATCTTTATATCTCTAACATTGAAATTTACAGAGAAGATTTTGATTTTTTTAGATTTTATTCAAGTAAATTCCAGAAGGTCATAGTCCCATAAGAACAATATATTTACAAGTAATCAACATAATTAACATAAAATGAATACATGTATAAAGAAAACAGTAGTTAAGTACATGATAGATACTTAACATTATTATCTGCTACAATTCATCCCATATAAATATTCTATTTTTATATAAAATCAATGCACATTATTATAAATTTACTTAATACAATAACATGTGATAATTGTATATATTCACAAGCACAAACAGAATACTAGCAAAATGTGTGATCGTCATATATAAAGATAATCTAGATCACAAAAACGCAATCAGATTTTAGTATTTATAAAAAACATTTTGTCATAATTATTTATTATCATGCTTAGAGAACTGTGCAGAAATGCAATCATCGTTCCATTGACTATAAGTGTATACGAGTTATTTTGATTAAAAACACCTTTTACTTCAGATCACTGCATCATGTATAGACACCTGACACTACTCAACTTTTATCATCTTTTGCGACTACAGGAAGCAGATGAGTGGCAGGAATTTTTAATCTTTTATAACTCTTGATTTTTAGACTTACACGTATTATTATAGTAGTAAATTATTTAACATATTTATTCTTTACTGCGTACTAAATTACAAGTTGAAATTATTCATGCATCTCTATAATACAGCATGTTTACTATCAACGGTCATTAAATAACTGTTGTACTTCATTTTGTTTCGGTTATTATGTTATCTATATTGTTTACATTGTAAATCATATAGTCTTGACTTAAATCAGTATCTACTTTTGTGATTCCTCACAAAGTTATTTCATATATATTTCTACAATGTGTAGGGTATACACAGAAAAATCTAACCATAACTTATCAGAAATGCTATATACTTACTCTGCGTTTTGATAACCGGAATATGTCGGACATTTACATGAGAAACTTTGATACTGGTTATGACAAGTACCGTTATTCTTACAATAGCTCGGAGAACAACCAAAGTCGTCGTTCTCACAAAGAGTGCCCGAGAATTCGTTGGCTGAAAAACAAAACAAACAAAAACAATATATAAATCATTTAAATCCACATACATAAGAAACGTATACTAAAAACAAACGTTTTTTAAATACTTTATGGAACGAAAATTGGTTTTGAAGTATCCGATTTTCTCTATAACGCATCGACTTATGCACGTTTCAGTTCTAATTTATATAAGTAAATAAACATTTAAATATTCATTATTTTTTTCATGACCTAGATATTCCCTAGCGTTTTGACCATCTCATCTTGCGAACGGAAAGTTTCCTTTTTGTCTTTTTTTTATTATAAATTTTGGACATCATGCTCTATGCATATCATATTTAGATAATACACAAATAAAAAGGATCTATAAGACATATATACTTCCCGAAATACCATTTTCCAAAAACAAAAACAAAGGAGTATCTAGACTGAGTAGTCGTTTCATTTTCCAATTTAATAAAGGCAAATCGTGAACGAAATATGTTTGCATTTGATAAGCACTGCGCATGTCAGTACAACCGTAATGACACATAATGACAGAACTAACTTACGTGTAGTGGTGGAACTACCACAGGTACATGTAAATCCAAGGCCATCTGATGCCGCACTACATGTCCTCTCGTTTTTGCACGGTTTTCCCGTGCATCCGTTCATAGGATTCTCACATCTCTTGCCCGTGAATCCTGCAAGTAAATGTTCAGCTTTTATTGATTTTTAGCTTCGTGATTTGCTGTTTAAGTTCTATCTATAATCTTTAATTATATTACAAAATGTATAATCTTTAATTTAATTATACCTTTCATTTTTTTCAGTCATTCATTTTCGTCAAATATTTGCAGTATCATGTATATCAAATGCTTATAATAACCTTGTATTCTTCATACAACCGACTTCAATATTTTCATTTTAGACGGCACATATAAATCATATGAAATACACAAAACAACACTTTCTATAAACAACATTTTACTAGTGATCAACTTTGACTGAAAACAATTTTTATTGATGCGCTCAAAGTAACAAACTTTCAACTTTCCGTTTCATTAATTTCCTTGACCCTGTTAAAACAGATCACCTGTCAGCAAAGACCATGAGACGTGTCTTTTGTTTTACAGGTTTGAGTATAGGTTGTAAACATAGACTTACCTGCCGGACATGTACAGAAATAATTCAATCTTTTAAAGGAGCATTCGCCATTTACACACGGATTCGGAGTGCACGGCGTTTCGGCTGTAATGTATAAGAAAAAGAGTATGACATAATTTTTAATTGCTGAATATAAACGGAAATTCGTGACACTGTTGAATGATGTCCTTCTTTCTCTGGATATCAAAATAAAGCTATGTGACAGCCAAAAAAAGATCAAAAATCAGTATAATTTTTTATGTTTTTTTTTTCCAAACAATAACGTGTAGATGTTGCTTAACAAAAATTTAAAATATAGCTGGAATCCGCTTTTCCTTTCATTATCTGTTTACATCAATATTAACATATAGGCGTGTTTACAATTCTTGTATAAAAGTATAATTATTATTTATGGCCTAAATCTTTTATAATCTGAACCATTACTCATTTATGTCCATTCTGCATTCCACAGCGTAAAAGCGTACAGGTAGAATTTCCGCTTCGTACGTGTAGAGACCCTGGTTCGAACCTTGGAATAGGCATTTTTTACCTTTAACTTGTTTTTGTCTTATATATTTCTGAACTAACTGGACTTTTTTCTCTAGTAAATTTCATACTTACTAGACTATTTAAGAACATTAAGTTAAAGTCAACACTGTCGATAATTAAGGTGCTAAATGACCGAATAAATAGTAATCGACAAAATTAGAAATATACGATTAGAAATATTCTAAATTGTTAATAATGTGACTAATGAAATTCAATGCTTCAAATAGAATAAAAAATACTATTTAAATATGTTAAATGAATGTAAACAAATTCAAATACATTAAAGTTTGCTTAACCTTTTCAACTGTGCAAAAATTGATTCAAATGACACAATGTCGTGATAATATGTTTAAAAATAGAAAATTAACACTCGCATGACAAACTTCTTTAAAAATATTCCGAAAGTAAAAGTCATACTTTTGCATTTGCAGATTCGAACTCGAAAAAACGTTTACTTATTCAGAACGCTTCACGTGTCCATAACAACTTTTATTCTATCTGGCTACTTTGCGTTTTTATTATGTATTGTAATCATTATTTTTGTGGACGAGGAGCTATAATCAGGTATCTCTAAAATACATTCTGTTCTGTTATATTGTAACTAACAATTAAATGACATACACGACCCATTATATCATAACGTTACGTGTTTGATCAGCAAACTAAGAGAAGCAAATACAATTAATTACTGTTAATTAAAATTTCATGCAGTTATATCCCTTGAATGTGTGACTACCACTGGTAATTTCCATAGTAGTACAACGCCTTCTTTATTTTTCTCTTTTCTCTTCCAATGAAAAGACTTTTCATACATACTCCCCCCTCCAAAAACAAAAATAATTAAAGAATTCAACCTATATATTTCTATAATATGACCATCTATTACATTGCGCCGTCTCCACAATTAAAGTGTGATTTTCTATGTGAGATCAAGTGATCTGTTGTAATTTGAAAACTGTTGAATAAATTAAAGCTGCGGTCTCACTTACTCCCGGCAGAACCCAGAACCACCCCGGTAAGTTACCGGGGTGATCCGGGACGATCCAGGGTGAATTTATTGTTGCGGTCATACTAACCTCGGCAGCACTATGGTAATTCCCAACTTACCACCAAGGATGTGCTCCGGACCATCCAGGCAGAGCCCAGGTGAAGCTACGGTTTATGCTGGTGCTTCTTCGGTCGTTCCCGGATGACGCCGGAAGAGCCCCGGTTGACTAAGGCAGAGCCCCGGTCGATCCAGGCAGAGCACCGGCAGAGCCCAGGAGGATCCACGCAGAGTCCCGGTAGAACCCCGGTGGATTGAAAACGCGCAAAAATGATTTCATTGATACATAATTTTTATTTAATATTATATCTATTGATCCAAAGCAGTCATTTTATGATGATTTTCTGAAAATCCTTATGCAGGACTGGATAAAAGGGAAATGGGAAGCGTTTTAATAACTATCGCAAAATGTCGTGATTCTTTTGAAATGAACCGGGCTTTGCCGGGACTCTACCGGGATCAACCGTAGCTCCATCGTCATCTTCTGTGGCTCTACCGACATCCTCCGGGGCTCTGCCGGCATTTACCGGGGCTCTGCCGGCCTTCACTGGGGCTCTGCCAGCATTCACTGGGGCACTACCGTAGCTCTACCGGCTATATCATGCCCCGAATCATCCCCGGTTTGTGCCGGCAGAGTTACGGTGCTTCCCCGGTGTAACCCCGGTCGTTCCAGGCAGAGCTAAGGATGAACCCGGCAAAGCTATACTTCCCGGATCATCCCGGACCACCCCGGTGATATTAGATATTTTATTCCATCCGGGGCCAAATGCCGGATGTTCCCGGATCATCCCAGACGTTTGTCGACAGAGTTACGGATGTTAGTGAGACTGTAGCTTAAACGGCTAAAATGACGATAATGTTACATTCTAGATTACGTCATGAATACTAGTACCATTATCAGCTATCGCCTCATCTAGAGTTTTACAAGCGCTCTCTGATGTTGACCCTGTTTCATAAGTTACCATACTACCATCGCACGGTTCACACGTGTGACTATACGGTGCCACACTGTAGTAATTCTTCGGGCATAGTGTACATGGTGTTAACCCATCGAATGAAAAATAGCCTGGTGGACATGCATCTGAAACAAAACATCTTATTCTTAAAGTTTAAACTGCCTGGATTGTTTTCTCAGCATCGATTGAATGAATATTAATATTGATCATTTGAAGTAGTAAGTGCAAATCTATAAGAAATAAAAACTGTCATGAATCAATGTTGACAATGTAAATGACATTAATATATAGAGGATATTTGTTTGTTTTGCATGTAAGATTGAAATATAATTTCACTGAGTGAACACCAGATGCAATATTTTCACGAGTGGCGTAGCCACGAGTGAAAATATAATAGCTGGTGTTCACGAATGAAATATATTTCAATCTTATATGTAAAACAAATAAATTTTCTTTTTATTTTATGCTTTTAAAGTGATGTTAAGTATTTCTTTACAGATTTTGCCGCGTAACGTCGCGCATTTTCCTTTGTGACGTCATTATATCATGACGTCACATCATAAGTTTTGAAATATAGTTCTGTTAAATTTCTGTAATTTTGTTAAATTTTTAACATGATAAATGATGACATTGACTTTCTTTTCCTAAATAAGCAAATTTACGTATGACGGCATTTATTTCTGCCTGTTATTCCATTTGGTTATGATTTTCTTTTCATACGCATTCAGATATAGTCCGGCTACAGTGAAAATTATATTTTATAAATTTCACTAGTGGTTTATCAGAATATAATCATCTGATATATTGTAATAAAACACTGGAAAGCATGAAATAAATATGTATAATATTTTTTAATCTGTTCAAGGATGGACGTCACATAAAAAGAAATTCTAGTTATTAAATAAGAAAAGCAATGTCAACTAATTCTGATCACAATTAAATTGTCTACACTTTGGTGCCAAAATTACAGTTTTTCAAAGTTTATGTTTCTTTTTAATATTGAAAATACCATTGTAACCTGATTTTTTTCTTGCACTTACTAGTATGCTCATGAGAGGACGATATTATTAGGACTATTCTGCGATTTTTCATTTATGATTGGCAGAACAGAGGAAAGAAGATATCTGGGACT